GTCGTACAGCCCGGCCGTTTCCGTAGCCAAAGATTGTAGTGGTAGGCTTCGGCGCTGTAGGAAGAGCAGGGAAAGCATCCTCGCCAGTGGGACGAGGAGCAGGACGGGGACGGTTAAGGGTTGTGGATTGTGAGGATGAAGGTGTGGGGGTCGTCCAGTTGGAGCGAGAGGCAGAGGATGAAGAGTTGCCAGCTGAAGGAAGAGACGGGAATGCGTTGGAGGACGATGGAGGAGCACTGACAGCAGGACGAGCTGCCCACGATGAAGCTCCGCTCGAGGACACAGGTGCAGGGCCGCCGAGTCTTGTGCTGTTCTTGAGCTTCAAGACACGGTTCGAGTACTTTTGTGTCGCCTTTGCATTAGGAACTGCTGGGTTGGCAGATGCTGCATTGGCCCAACCACTTGAACTCGAGGTTGCGCCATGCATGCCACTTAGTCCAGGCAAGCTAGGATAATCTTCATTGATGGCACGCCAGTCCTGCCAAGCTTTGCGGAGGGCATCGGCCTTGTTCTTGTCCTCATACAGATCCGCAACCTCTCGGACCATCGTGCCAAGAGCGTTTGAGGAAGTATCAGCGAAGAGAGTGAAGAAAGCATCGATGAGTTGAGGTGCTGTAAGTCCACCTTGGCGATATGAAGAGATATGGTTCCGGAATGTTGCCATGCGCTGCGCATCATTGCCGAGGAGGTTTGATGCTCGTTCGACTACAGCGCCGTGACGAACAAGTCGGGCACGCTCTTCGGGGCTAAGGTTGGCAGGATCCGGGACAGTAGCAGATTCAATGGGATTAGCAAGGTTTGTCTGACTGGCTCGGGGAGTGTTTGATGAGCTGCCACCACGAGATTGTGATGAGGCTTGAGCGGGCGTGGGTGAAGGCGCAGAGAGTGAACCACCAAAGGTGCGATTGGACACAGATTGCGCAGAATGGATTGCCATTTGCCGCTGGAAGGCAATCTCATCTCGTCGTAATGGCTGGGCGGAGCTCGCAGGAACCGGTTCCATATTAGGGTCACGGCCTCTGTTCCCTCCTCTTCGCCCATCTCTGCCTCCCCGTCGTCCTTCTTCTCTCCCACTCCCGCCTCCGCCTCTCTCTTGCTGGTATGGTGTCCGAATGTCGAATCCTGAGATGTTCACTACTCGCGCGTCTCTGCCTGTTGCTTTACCACCATGATCACTCAACTGATGAGCCTGCAAGTCCAGCTCCGACTCAAAGACTACAAATTTCTTTTCCAAACATTCTCGATCGCTGCAGAGGTAATGGTCCTTCTTGAAATGCTCTTCGAGTGCATTGTAGTCGAGGTAGTAGTGGGGATGTCGCGAGTCTCGCCTATCGCAAATAAAGCAGCGCTCATGCTTCATCCGGCAATGCTCGTACAGCTTGTCGTCGTCGTAAAACCGCTCTCCACAGAACCCACATAGGGGATGACCCTTGAAGCCTGTTTGGTCTGCGGCACCGGGCTTGTCGTCTCCATGACGCATGTGCTTCTCCAGTTCCTTATCCGCAAATAGCTCATGCTCATGTGTGAATACCCTCTTGTTACGAGTGCATAGATCGCACATACGCTTGCGGTGAGCGGACTTGACATGGCGGTGCAAGTCAGGCCAGCCGAGGCCAGCGAAATCGCATGATGCGTCGGGGCAGTTGTATCGGAGGAGGAGAACGGTATCGCCCACAATATCCTCTTTTGTGTACTTGATTCCGATGTTGCTGTCGGTGGTTGTGATATCCTTTTCTGAGTAATCCTCGAAACGTTTCTCGGGGTCGTCGGTAAAGATGACATAGGGAGCCGGGGTCTAGAACACTATTAGCGATAAAGCCCTTGCCAGGGGCACAGAGAAGATAAACATACACGACAGTGAGCGCAGTCCTTTGTCTTATAAAGGGCTCTCATGCGCAGGCCGCAAATATGGCATGTCGTATGGTTACAAGGCGCAATAGAGTGGTGAGCGACTGGGTTCGCGCAGATGAAGCACACCTCGCCGTCATCATCGTCGGCGGCTTCAGCTGCTTTGCCTGCAGCCATGGCATGGGCTCTGGAAGCTGCAGCTGCGACGTCTTGAGCCGCAGGGTTTGCGGGAACGTTGGGCACGTTGGAGTTGTTACCACCTCGGCCACGCCGTTGGCCGCCTCGTCGGTTCTGATTGCCCTTTCCTCGGCCCCGTCCTCTGTTGCGCTGACCCTCGCCTTGTGGTTGAGAATCGGAAGCTGTGGCTCCTGTATTGCCGTCTCCTTCCGGTGAAGCCATTTTGTGCTATCCCGAGCTTCCAGAAGCAGGAATATTTGCGAATTCGGATAGCTTAGAAGTCAAGGGGGCCAGAGCTATGATTATGTTGCTCGGTAGAGGGGTAGTCGCTTTATCGAAATCGAAAGCTGTCAAGTGCACGAGTAAAACTACAGGTAAATGGAAAAAATGAGCGATCTTATGGTGAAGCTGTACTGGTGCGCTATTATCGTATGAATGCAAAAGAGTTGTAGTTTCAAGGTGAGTCGCGAAGGCGAGATGATGATGTCGACCAGATTTTATTTAGGTTTCTGTTCTCTGAAATGGCGGGGCAGAACCTCTCAAACAGTGACGGAACTGCCCTGCTGTGTGGCACGAAGCCACTTCCAGCTGCATCTGTGGCTGAGTAATCTCACCCAAGAGCATGGGGCGATGCTCAAATTGGGTCCTCTGATTGGCTCTGGAACCGTCATTCAAGACTGGGAGTCACCGGCCAGAAAGATCCCAGCCTAGAGTGACAACGACTCGCACTGGCATCTATTGACTCATTAAGGCTCATCAGAGCTATGCCTAGCGATAATACCTTAGCAAACCCTTTTTTAATTAACAGGGCTTGCTGCACTTCACCTCCCATCGGCCATTAATTAGAGTCCAATGTCCGCAAGCCGACATGCCTCAAGCTCCCATTAACAACAAGTGAACAGAGCGCAAGGTATCTTGTTCAATATTTTACAGTTACAGTTGAGGCACCGCAGATATTAAGTTAGTATAAAATAAGTCAAACTATGAGCCCCCCCAATCACAAGCTCTCTAACCGTTACAAAATCGTTAATTTAAAGCCAAAATATTATGAACTGAAGAAAACATTGATCACAAACCATAGCATCTAACAGAAATTCTATCAAGCCTGATAGTAGGGCTTGACCTGCTCTTCAGACCAATTCCAGAAGAACTCTGCCATACCTGTTCCACCTTCAGATTCGGACAAAGCGCCCTTCTCAAGATCTGGACGAATTGGCATGAATCGACCCCATGGAACCACTGGAAGTTGTTAGTAACTACCTATGATCGGTTCCATGTAAGGAAAAAGGAATGCTTACCCCAAATACCAGATTTATCGATTGTGATGTCCTCAGAAAAGGCAGCAAATAGCTCTGTGTACGCGCCGTAGATAGGAGCATAGGTGGTAATGGTTCTAGGATAGTACATATACCAGGGTGACGTGCGATCGAGTTCGCTTGACAGATTGCCAGGGTTTAGAGACTGGGTTCAATGTTAGTTTATGGGTCGCTTAGTTGTCATGCAGAACGTACTACGCTCACGATGCCATCATCTTTGAACCTCCTGGCGAACTCAGTGTTGTGGTAGAAGTTGCCGGCCTTGCTTGTCGCGTATTTGAACACCAGGTTTCGCGGCTCATGGTAATCGAGGTTATCACGCTCGAAACCATTCTTTGGTGCGAGAACATCTGCAGCCGAACTAGACACCCAGATCACGCGAACCGAATTCTTGGGTGCCGACTTCGCCGTCTTTTGAAGAAGAGGAGTGAGGTACTTGGTGAACAAGAAATGGCCAAGGCAATTGACTCCAAGCTGGAGCTCATACCCCTGCACAGTCTTGGACCCCTCTGGTGGTGTCATAACTCCGGCATTGTTGAACAGAATGTCGAGTCTACTCTCAGCTTCAAGGAACGACTTGGCTGAAGTCCCAATTGTTGTTAGATCTGCAAGGTCGAGCTTGAGAAACTTGAGGGTGCCCTTCGACTTAGGGTGCTGCTTCTTGATGCCCTCAATGGCAGCCTCGCCCTTCTCTGTACTACGAGCAGCGACCCAGACGGTAGCGTTCTTGCTGTAGAGGACCTGGGCAATCTCGCGACCGACTCCAGTGTTTGCTCCGGTGACAATGGTCACCTTTCCTGTGAGATCGGGAACATTTGTCTCTGTGAATTTGGGCTTGGGAGGGAATGCCTGGCTAAGGGCATCCAAAGGTCTCGCAGGCAGCGGCATGATGAAGGATGATGAAGAATTTGTCAATAATAAGGAGAACAGCAAGCCTTGTAGAAGCTGGATGGTAGAATCAATGACACAAAGATAACTTCCATGATCTCACAATCACGGGGTAGCAACCGGTAACGCGGGGCAATCGACTACCCGAAAACCGGAGCTGGAGTTTAAATCCGTGCTTTGAGGAGAGGATTGCATAATTCGAAGCTTTTGAAAGGCAGACATGAGTTACAGATGTAGCATATGAACAGCAGAGAAGCTGTATTTTGACTTACAAACATCAAGGTCTCACAAAAACGTGAGAGCACCCCATTTATGCAAGTGCTTACGCTGTTCGGGACCACTTGGGCGCAGCACGCATTGTGTGGCGTGTGGGGAGTACACATCGCAGGGAAGACAATCCACTTTCAATCGGATGTAATCAATAATTCTTTTTTAAGAGGTGCATGCTTCAAGGTAGGTAGGTATTATCATCAAATGCCGTAGTTCTAGAGCAATCCCACCATCACATAGACCCGAATTCTGCAAGTAATATCTTCCCATTGCAGGGTAGTCTTTATCCCCACCATAATGTTCCCGAATCACCGCCCAAGCGGTACAAAAGAGACAATCTTGAGCCTTTCGAAATTCTCTGGGATTCATTATATAGCACCTAGCCCAATTGTCAATACTAGACAAGAAACACTTTACCGGTACGCCGCCGCGCGCCTAAACGCTGTCATCGAAACCTTGGCAGAAGGACTCTGCATTCCGCAGTTGTAGTCTCTCTGCTGTTTATTCCTCGCCAACTGGGTAAAGATGGCTACCGATATCCTTGTTCATCCGAAACATGTCAACTCTTGCTTGTTTGAAGACTGCTTGCATCTTCTCGTCGCAGATGATTTGACGTTTGTCGTTCGGGTCTTGAAGGTCATTTGCTTTGATATGTTCCCAGAGCTTCTTGACAACTTGAGGTCGCGAGAGCTAGAATTGTGTTAGTGTTGGCTCTGCGCAAGCATGCTGCACGTAATCGTCTCAATGCCAAGACTAGTCGCAAGACATAGACCACATAGTCCGAATCAGGATAGAAGATGCATCCAACCCTTTCAGACAATGACCTGGTCCCGCAAAGACATAGGCTGAATAGACAAAGCCATGGCCCAACCTTGCAAGAGATCTAGGACAATGCTGTGTATAGTACATAAAGAAATGATTCACATACCTGTGTCTCGCCAACAAGTTCAGAGAGGGTTTCGCTCAAGTTGAAAGGTTTCTGGAAACCACCACCAGCCTTTCTCTTCTTGCCAACCTCACCATCAGCTGGTTCGAGGTCGCTATCATCGTCGGCTTTGACCTTCTTCGCACTTTTCTTGCGTGGCGCCGCCTTCTTCTTGGTAGGTTTTGCCTTGTCGCCCCCTCGAGTCTTGCGCCCTCTGGCCAAGCTATTTTCCTGTGCCTGTAGTTGGGCCGCCAACTTGGCGTCCGCATCTTCAGCCGAGGACGATCGCTTAACCTTCTTTCGTGAAGGTTCCGGGGTGGCGGATTGCTCGGTTTCGCCTACATCGGATGTGCCGTTGGCCGCATAGTCGACAGTAGAGGGGGGTTCGATTCCGTTGTTGGCTCCGGATACGGCGTCGAACCGAGCTTCGATAAGTCGTTTGATGGCGTTCTAACAAGTCAGCAGGGGGGAAAAATAGGGCAATGCCAAATAGAGCGGCGCGGCAATGCTTGTGTTGTTTGTCGGCATACCTTCTGCTCGCTCAGATCCTGGCCGCCGAGCTTGTTCTCTAACCCCTGCCGGATCTTCTTTCGTGAGATGGTCTCAAGGTCGGACGTCTCAAGGATGTCGTCAATGATAGCGGTATAGCGCTCGAGTTCTTCAGTAGTCACTATCGGTATCTTTTGTTATTCAAGGTTCAGAGTCGCGATGAAGGGGGTCTGTGCCAAGGGGTGGCAGGGCAACTTACAAGGGACGCTCATGATGATGTTGTTGTTGTTCGCAGCACGACCGCTCAGTTGTGTAGAGTTGTACAGAAAAAGGTCGGCAGGAGAAGTGGCTCGGTTGCAGCTACAAGACGAGGGGGTTCCAAACGGCGGGGGGTTATGCGCATACAAACAGCGACACCTGCAGCCGTCCGTCTGTGAAGAAGGATGATGGAATGCGATCGCGGCAATGGTGAAGAATGCGCCCTGGGTTGCCTGTATCAAAGCATGTCCCGAATTGACTGCGCGTGTGTGCTCCCGGTGATGTGACGATTGTTTCCTTAAGCCAACGCGGTCAAATATGCGTGATGGTTGGTCGCCCAGGTCCCGCGGTCGTCGGTCGATTACAGTGGACGAACCGCGGCATGAAACGATGAACAGTGAAGTAAATCGATAGAGTAGCCAAGGTGAATGTAGCTTACAACGAAGTGAATGGGAAATAAGGGGTTTCTAGGGGAAAAAAGGTGATAATTGGATAGGCTTAATGAAGCTATCGCGGGCTTACGTCAATTTGTTGTGTATGGATGAAGTTAATGTTCACCCGCAACCTTGGAAGTCATGGAAAGCAAGCAAGCCACCGATCTCAGTCCGATGAGGCTGCTGAGGCTCTCGTTGCCGTGGCTGGTGACCAGGGGTTTGGCCAATGAACCTTGCGTAGCGTTAGGTCACCAACCCAAACGGGTAAGGTTTAAGACCTGAGACGGGAGGAAGCGTGCTTCATCCACATTCGCCCTTCCTATTGTGTTTTTTCATTGAGGTCACGTGGGGTATGCCTTTTGTCTTTGGTGGTGTTTTCCTCCCGTCTGGGTCCACTCCAGCTGCCTCGGATCACGACTGGCTGCGTCTCAGCATGATGAGTTACCTAGGCCTCTGAGCTGGACTAACTTGTTCTGATCAGAGTTCTCTGATAATACTGGAAACGATGCTGACTGAAGCACTTCGAAAGGCTAAGGCATTATTTAATATGATGGCGATATCAATCGTCAACTCCAACCTGTCCAAGAGATGAAACTAGGCCTGAATCCAAATCTTTCAACAAGTCACCCCAGAGCAGTCCACCTGGTGTGTCGACAGTCCACATATCCTCACTAAGTGTCGCATCAAAGCCTGCATTGTATAAAGCTTCCTCACCAACACTCATAATCTGGTAGCTACTCGGCTCCGCCACAGTATCCAACGTCTCTGGACTTTTCTGATTACTGACTGGTGTTGTCGCGGGTGTAGTGAGACCAAGCCTCGCTCTGAATGCTTCCACCAGTTCTAGACATTTGATCTTGAGGTTGTTGGTCAACTGCACACCTGCTCTGGATCCGAATGTCTCAAAAACCCTCGCAGCTAGTGTCAACGTCTTCCGCGCTGTGGGGGACATTGGACAGATGGGATAACCGCAAGAGAAGCCAGCTAAAGCAAATGTGGCGGTTCGCTGCCAGTCAAACACTTGAAAGCACCCAGCCAGAATACCGGAATCCCTGCTGATCTGGTTTAGCATATTTGTTATCATGATCCCAGAGTTCACACAAGTAATGCAGTGGTTATCACTATTGAAAGTGCCTAGTGCCGGTGTCCGTAGAAATGAGTTGAATGTTCGAGTGAGCATAATGACCAAGGAATGGTAGTCAAGTTCCAGCACTAGCCGTTGTCTCTGAAGCCAAAGGGGATCGCTCTGGCTGAGATCCAGTGGCGAGCGATCGACTGAGAAGGGCACACCTTGCACCCGTGGTGTCTTCAGACTCCCTGGTAGTTCCTCAACCCATGTCTTGAGACGCTTGAGCTGCTCATAGAGATACTTTGCGCACTTCTCTCGTGATGAAGGGTCCTGATAAAAGTCGGGTTGATCAATCTCCGAGAGAACATCGTCCATAACCCTCGCGAATTCAGTATGAATCTCACGAACGACCTGGAAGAGACCTTGTCTCTCATGCTGAAAGCGAAGCCAGTTGATGCCCGAAGACTGTGAAAGGGTGAAATTTGGACCGGCAAGTTGAGCGATACTGTCAGACTCTGGGTGTTCTCGCTCATACAGATGGAGCTCTGAAATTGCGAAGGGCCGCCCCAAATGTAGAGAAACCTGTGTGTCTAATGTGACAAGGCATCTCCATAAGCGCGAGCATGTTCTTGTGCCAGTTGAAACCTCGCTGCCTTGGGTCTCACTGTCGCCATCGAATTGTAGGCCAATTGATTCTGCTGCAGCTACAGCAGATCGAATCATGATGTAGGCCGAGTTTTCTTTATTCAAAGCCAGCAGGTATATCGCGCTGAGAAAATAGCATTGTGCCGACTGGAGAGACGGGGAATCCAAATCTTGAACCAGCGCCTGCTGAGCCTGTAGGTAGAAATCGAAACCAGGCTGATCAGGCACAATGACATTGTCACAGGTTGTGTATGAGGAGCCGAACTGAATGCATAAGGCGATCACAATGTCTACTAGAGGACTTGCCTGTCTTTTCGTATTGCTACTCCAGAGTGAGTCATAATGTTGTCGAAAAGTAGCCTCCTCGATCACTGGATAAATCGCATGATAGCCCTGCCAGTAAAGGTCGAGGAGAGCGTCTTGCTGTTCACGCTGCAGTCGGTTACAGTCGAGCTGAGTTGGGGGAGCTGGTAACTTTGGACTTGACAGGACATTTGTGTCAAAGCTCGATTTGGTGAAAGTTGATAATCGATGAGTGAAGTAAGCCAGCGAGGAGGGACCATACTGTATGCCATTCACTCGGACCCCTTTCCACCTTAATGAACGTTTACCGACAGCCTCAATATTCTGAGGTAACGGAGATTGACTTAAGAGCTTATTCTCAAGCTGCTGCACCTGACTTCTCAGCCGTTGAACCTCCCTGTGTCATTGTCAGCTTTACGCCCTTCGACAGATTCAGGTTCGACTCACCTCGTGGCTGCGGCAACACTCTTGAAATCATCGCGACCTGAGTTTACACATTCTCTATTGGCTTGTTTGCAATTCCGACAAGGTCGGGTAGAATCGCATTTCACTCGGGTCAAGCGACACCAGTCACAGGCGCGTGAGACTTGAGCCCTCTTGGGGCGGGGTTGTGAGGTTGGTGGAGAAGGAGTTTTCCCGCTTGACAGGGAGTTCGAGGTTGTTATGTCAAAAGTGGTGAACATTGAGATACTGAAAGCAATTGATATGTTTTGGTACGAGAATGCGTTGGCTGTTGTATGTTGGATTCTGACAGTCTGCATATCGAATTCCTGGGCAGGGTGAGCATGGATGACTCAGGAACATGGATGTTAGTGCATCCCATGAACATTTGTCATCAGCGCAAACCCAACCAGGCACAACAAGACATAAGGCTATGGTATTGATAGCTCGAACATGAAATGTTACGAACTGTGCCATTGTACGATATTAAATCCCCGATTATAATGACAAAGGCCTTTGGTGCTGTCAAACGAGTGAAAAGGATGCGGGACATGTTTGGCTCTATTTGCGAGGCTCGTTAATGCGACTATGTACAACAGGTAGCAATATGTTTACCATTCATACTTAAGTTTCTAATGTACCAAGAATCTGACCATTTGAATGAATTGTCTCTATATTTCTCTGTCTGCACCAAATGCTGTCAAATAGAAAGACGAGATCAAGTACCGCGAGTCCATGATAAAGTACAGCCAATGGCAGGTCTCCATGCATCACAGGATCACCAAATGAGGAAGTCGGAGAAAGCTCCGAAAACTCCTTATGGATCGAATGTTAAAAAAGCTGCAGAAACATTCATCTAGCTTGAAGCGAGACAAACTACAGGGTGCCTGCATTTGTGTTTCTATGAAATGGGATTTGAAAGGCGAGCGACATGCTTCCTCCCCGCTCATGAAAGGAACCGGAGAGGAGGTGCAAATGACACTTTCCCAAACAACCTTCTTGGTTTGTCGAACATCACCCCACGAGCACTCACCTCATGAGGAAGGAAAGAGACAGTAACATCCATGAAAGATGTCCCGCACGGAAGCAACTTCACCTGTCAATTTAATGCATCAAAAATTGTACGCCGTTTTCGTTCTTTGCCAGCCTCTTGTTTCTGAAGTTTTCCCACTGAAGGGATAGTGGAAGGAGAAATTTGCAAGTATGATACGCATTTGCCTTCTCCCTTTTGCCCTGGCTGCATGTGCGGCACCTACCGAGGGCACCGCAGCGCAGACCTTGGACTTCTGCGGTGAGCCGGATAAGAGTAACTATACACTCATCCAAGGTACGACAAGCCCTCAAAGACGCAGTTGTGTTGATGATCTGATCTGATCCGAATTCATAGATCCTTTCCTTGGCGACATGGACCTTGGCCAACCAGGTATCACCCTTGAAACTACTTATGGCGACGAAACTCCTCGCTGGTTCATGGTGTATCAAAACGGAATAGACGTGAAGCCGTATCGCGCGATGAAGGTATGTTGCCAGCCCATGATTCACTTACAAGTAAGGCATTCAACTAACTTCTTCAAGGTTCCTTCCAACACAACTGTATTTGTTGACTTGACAACATGGTGCTCAACATTCTCCGGAAGACTCGTCCGTGGTAACAATATCGATTTTGACGGCGGCGCACACAATCTCGGCACATGGGCAGAGGTGAACTGGCAGAGCTATCCATTCGTGTACGGTGGGGTGTCTGTCATTGAAGGTCAAATACCACCCCAAGCAATTGATCGAGGAAGCTGACACTACGCAGGCAATGACGGACCCATCCTCTTACAATCAGAAGACCCTAACACCCCTTCCATGGGCTTCACTGAAGATATTATACCTGGAGCCCCAAAAGAATGCAGGATGAAAAAGGACAGCGGAGGCATGGCACTGAAGCCAACCGACAAGGATGGATACGACGAAGCAACGAGAGATTTCACGAAACGACAACTGGACAAGCAGAAGGTATCCATCGACAAGAGCTACACCGCGACGATCATGTCCCACAATGGAAGGTTCAAGGTTGTTTTTCTCCACGGGAACCATTAAATAGAGCAGTCCTGGTCTATGAGTTCACGTAGCTGCGTTGTCACTTGGAGCTGGAGCAGGTAGTCATTTTTGATGGTTCGATATGTGTATGGAACTATGAAAGATATGTTCTAGGCACTTCTAAAGAAGAAGTAGTCGAGATGATTGAAGTGGGTTAACTTTACCTCATATGGTAGCTAAAAAGAGAGCACCTAGATCGATACGATCCACCCCACATTCTGCAAACCAAGTTCGAGAAGGTTATCCGCGGGGTAGACACACTCGACGATGATAACGTTCTAGACTTGATAAAACAAGGTCCAGTAAGTGAAACACCGGGCCGGTTGAGAAAGTTTATCTGATAGAGAATAACACATATCTTGACCTAACAAAATATCTATACGCAGAAAAGTCTACACGGGAAGAACAAAGTATTTTCCTCAGAAGCCTTATGCTGGTGATACAAAGCCCTGATGCAGAAAAGAAAAATTGACTTCATCAAACCAAACATCTCTAGCCAGAACTACTTAGTACGAGACCATCCTATGATCTTGGAGCAATCATGAATTTTGACCTTTTTCTTCCAGTGAAGTACAAGGCATCACGAACGACAAAGTAGAGTCATGAAGTGGGGGATTGGGGAAATGGCACAAAACAAAAATTGTCTTAGTTTTGATTGATTCAGCTTTCTCTTGGCATTACTGCAATGAGTCACATAGAGCCCACATTAACCAGCAGTCAATGGGGCATCCAACCCATCGAACCTTCAGCTGCCTCCTCTCATGATCTTAAATAAGTAATTACACTGCTTCCCCATCGTACCGCGCTCTTGTATGTCCACATGCCGGGAGCATTCCCCTTGGCAAGTCCCTCAATAGCATCGGCAAAAGCAGGCCCGAGACCCTCGTCCTTGATCTGACGGACAGGGTAGAGATAAGTCTTGAAAGAGAAAAGGATTGCTCGTGTCTTGGGTAGACGAGTCAGGGTTTGGAGCTCTATGCGAAGGAAAGTCTGGGTGCATGTGTTAGTGAGGAACTATGATCATGGGGCAGCGTCCTACCTTTTCAATGTCGACATCTTCATCATTCTCGTACTTGTCATTGCCAGTTATGTGGTTGCCCTGGCAGTTGAACAGCTCTGTATGAGTTTGTACGGACCACTGCAACTCATCAGCATCAATTCGGCGCGTTGGCTTTGGAGACTCCTCACGTTTGTTCGTTTGACACTCTTTCCTACTTCCAGCTTTGCAAAGAACTTCTCCATACTAGAACCGATCTTCTCATACGACGGCACAGGTGCATGGATCTCCACAAGTGTCTTACCAAGCTTAGACGAGGGATCGAATCCCGATGGAAAGCAACACATGAATGCAACCGAGCGGTGGCCTTCTGGGGTCTCCTGCAACAAGAAGAGATCTTCTTCGACAGTCTCGCCGAGTACGCGCAGCGCCGCATCCATGTTGCCTTCGGGCAGTGTGGGGAAGGACATTCCCGTAGCGAGATTCTCGCACATGGAGTTGTCCTTGGAGAGTTTGAAGATGGTCGGGAAGCGCTTGGGGAGCTGTTCAGATAGGAGATAGGTGTAAAGCTCGCGCACAGCGGCATCACCTTCTGGGGTGCAGCCATGAACGGTAGATCCATGAGTGGCGATAATGCTTCGTCGATGTGTAACGCGGTCGAGGTAGTCTTCGTCAATTGTGATGAGTTCTGATGGTGTATCTGCTCGAATAGCTGCGATCACAGTCAGAAAAAAAGGACGTTCTTGTCCCGTGGAGAGACCATACCCATCGTTATGTGATATGTTGGTTTGAATGGCCGTAACTGACGCCTGGGTGCAGTCTTCCAGTCAAAGTCATGTAAAGGCTCAATGGCTAGCACTTTTTCAGGTGGTACTATCTCAGCCTTGGCAGCTTGCAAGTGCTGTCTGCGATGGCGCATCCATTTCTTTGCCTGTTGTTTGTTGGTCAACTACGAAAGTTCATGATGTAGTCAAAGTGGGTTGAACTCACAGTAGTGGTGACGACCCAGATTGATATCAAAACGGCAGCGGGAAGAAAAAGTAGTTTTGCAAAAGGCTGCAGAGAGCCATTGAGATGATACAAGGAAGTCATCTTTGGGGCTAAGGAGGAATTGAGTGAGAGCTGCTGTTATCAAGGGTCTTGACGGCAACCAAGACCCTTTTTATGTTGTTCCAAACGCCCTTTGTATAGTCAGTCACTAACTATTTGGAGTCTATGGTTCTCCGCACGCCGATATCGCGTGGAGCTCTAGCCTGATAATAAACTCTCAGTCATTAGCTCTCTGTGATGGAGGGTGTGGTACCTTTTGGGGTAGAGATCAGAAGACCCCTCTTGTTCTCATATTAATGCCGGGATAAGGAAAGGCTCATTAGCATTATTATCTACAAAACCAGTCTATCTATCCGTCCCATATGTCATCTGGTATCATTCGTCGTATATACAAATCCGGCCCGACCGGGAACACCAATATGTTTAGTCCAATCTCGTGTCTTATCATAATTCCCACAACAATTCTATCACTTCATCCTTCATCTCCTCTATCTTGGGTGGCGCCTTTTTGGGGTCTTTCGACTTCTCGTCCGGGCCGGGGATGTCATCCTCGAGACGGTGAATGTAAATTTGTCGGATATTCTTGCCAACCACTTCGGTGTCGACCAAATGATAGCTTTTCTTCAAGCGTCGATCCATCTTGGATCTCATGGGGCTCAGACTCCAGTCGAACCCTTCAGCGCCCTCCCAGCTTCCTTCCATCTTGTTCAAGTCCACGCTCTCCAAACCTGCAGAGTATTGGACTATGCTGTATCCGTTTGTCAAGACAGTGTCGGAGCCAAACGCGAAACGTTGCAGGAAACAACTCCCACAAAATTCGGAGATCTTGACCATCTTGTCAACAGGAGCCTGGTGCCACGACTTCCAGTGATGTAAACTCATTGGAAGACGACCGGACTCATAGAAGCCGCTCATATCTCCACCCATGTCCAGCTGGTGAAGCCCTTTTACGATAGTGAGCTTCGTCTTGGTCTTGCTGTATATGCATTGCTTGAGAAGACCATCGCCTTGAGGCACATGATCAACTTTGAGGCATTCCTCCAGATGAGGGTCAAGCTCGCGAAGCAGGGCTGGGCTGAGGAAGATTCCTGCTCCTCCAAAAGCCATGTAGCCATGGTGCTTGACCGCATCGTAGTTCTCCGACAACCCACCCACATATGCTGGAAGCTTGTGGTCGTATTTGCCTAGAATCTTGCTCATGGGATAAAGGGAAGGAAAGAAGGTATCATCGTCGACAATAGCAGTCCACTGTGTCTTTGGGGTAACGTGTGCAAGAAGATCGCGGACGATTGCAAAGTGCTGCTCGTTGGAGGTGATGGCCTTGTTCCATGGATCCTTGATGCTGAGTTTGATCCCGCGCTGACGAAACTGCTCAGTGACTTGTTTGTACTTGGACTCGTCGCCGGGATCCGTAATAATCGCAAGTAATTGCGCATGGGTACTGCCGAGCCAACTCTCAAACTGCGACATGGATTCATTTAATCGATCAAGACTTGTCGCAACGCCAAACAAAAATTCAGAGTAGTCCTGCTGAGGGTACGGCGGAGGCACCCTGATAGTGACTGGTTCGCAAGTCGACTCGGTCCATCCTTCACAGGCCTGGTCAAGTTGGACGATTTGGCCGCTCTTGATCAAGGTATCCGGGTTCTGCGATACAACTTGGCTATCAAGCTTCTTGTCTACAACAGGGCGGATGCAGCGCTTTTGGTATATAATGTCCCTCGTTAGGCCATACGAGGAGCGTCGTAGATGATCGAGAGTTGGGGCACATACTGGTGCAGGATCAAAATCTGGGCGATCGGGTTGTGGGGGTTCCTCGAAGCTGAACGGTAATGACAAAAGTCCTGTGTAGTTGAGGACGAGAACAGCGATAACGATGAAGGCTAGAGCAGCGCTTCTACGCCGGCCGGAGCGATTTCGAGAAATCATGACTGATATCACAAATATCGCAATCTATGATCAAGAAAAATGATATGACGTCGTCGGTGGCATCGATATTCGTCTTCGTAAAGTACCTAGGTAGGGGAGTGTTCGTTCGGTGGCTTGTACTGAATAACTTGTCTCAAAGCCTGGTCGCAAGAAGTCGCAGTCTCATGTGTGTGAAGGACGAGAGCCGAGTTTGTCGATCAGAAGATGTTGCAATCAGATGCAGCTAAAGAGATTAGGCAAAGCTTGGCGCAGATTAGGATTGCAAGTATGATGGCGATAATAGGTATATGTGCGACGTAAAAGGAAGTGCAGATATACAGATAAAATATATGAAAAAAAAAACTGTAATATGTACTCTTGAAATCGAAGAGTATGAAATGGCGACGCAGACGCAACACAAGCAAAAGCAAAGAAGATGCGATTGAATGGGGGGATGCAGATCCGAGATAAAGAAATCTTGGGAGATCAAAATGTTAGGGGTTGCCCACTAAATTTAGACATGTGGGGCCCACCCGCAATTACAGGAGAGTCCAACCGCCAACAGAGTCTCATGAGTGAGTTGACCCTGTTCACTTTAAAACGGTCAAGAGATTGTCACATTCAACAGCTCCATGAGGTCCATGGGCGGAATATAGAGTACTCTAGAGGCCAAAATAAGAAGCCCCCCAATCACGCCCGAGAGGCTTCAACTTTCAACCGTTCAAACCCGCATCTCGCGACAACCTCACAATGCCGCTTCCTGATCTACCTGTCGACCTTTTCCACCTATTTTGCCCTGAATTTCTAGTTGAGAAATGGGTTACTTGGACTAATACGCATGTTGAGACTATCTTAAACGCGACCGACGCGTCCAACGCCAAAAATGCAGATATTCTTCAGTGGAAGCCCCTCACGGTCGCAAACCTCTACATTTGGCTTGCAACACTTATCTACATGGGCAACAACCCTTGCGAGCGACTTTCTGATTACTGGGCCACATCTGCACCAGGGAAAATCACTCCTAATCATGATATTACTAAATATATCACCTTCAAGCAATTTTCTCTGATTTCCCGGCACATCAGGACCTTTCCTCCCTCTGACGAGCCTGAGAATGACGAGCCTAGGAATAACGAGACTGAGGATGAAGAGCCGGAGAACGAAGAGCCTGAGAATGAAGAGCCCGAGAATGACGAGCCCGAGAATGAGGTCGAGCGCATGATATCGCGTGTTCAGGAGTGGGGAGATCTTATCCAAGCCGTATCAACGCAGCTTCTTCTTCCGGGCACGAATTCATCGGTTGAATACTCAAAGGGCGATCACTTGGGAAAGTCGCGAAGAAATCTGGCCTCAAGATCTTGGCAGCCGCTGAAAAGGGCTATCTTCTGCGGTGGGAATATCGCATCCCCAAGGCTGCGCAACCGCCTGCTCGCCGCCGCGAATATCCTCACAGCCTCGCAGAAACACAGCGTCTTGTGCTTGATCTTGTAGTATCCCTGCCGCCTGCAACTTATCACATATTCTTCGATAAGCTTTTTTCGACACTATCGCTTATGAAAGCTTTGCGAGAGCGAGGCATCGCGGCCACAGGCACAGCTCGTACAAATCAAGGTGTCAATCAAGGTGTCAATCAGGGTGTTAGTCACGGCGTTTATCGCGACTTGGTGATCGCGAAGCAGGCCGACCGTGAAGGCCGGCTGCAGTGGGGCTTTGATTCCCTTCGAACTATACCGTCAGAGGATGATCTAGTAAGCTCGCATGATTTTTCCTCATATATTTCCCCCCTACTAATCGGTATTTTCCTTCCCTAGGTCAACCATACTGCGTTCAAGGATAACTGCCTCGTGTTGTGGATGACCTCATTCAGCGGTTCCGAGACTGTCCAGCACCTTCGCCACCGCCCTAACACAACGCAGGCACAAGCTCGTGAGGCTCGAGTCTTCGGCCCTGATTACGAACGTATGATAGATACGCCTTCTATACAAATCGCCTATAATTTCAACATGAACGGAGTTGACCGCGGCGATCAGCTGCGTGCCCACAGAGGTTGTGGTCAACGACGAAACCGGGGCGGTGGGTGGCATGCTCTTGCGTGGACTTTCCTCCTCGATACAGTCCTTGTCAACACATACATTTTACAACAGAAAGGTCAGTGCAGCTGGGAGAGTTACAGGTCACAGGCGGACTGGAGGGAAACCCTCACAGAAGCCCTCTTCCGGAAATATGTCTCTGCAAGCACCCTCCGCAAGCGATTTCGCAGTGGGAACGAATTCCTTCCTATTTCACAGCATAATCATGTTAAGGCCGAGATCTACGGTAGGTGTAAGGGTTGCCAAGGAGTCAGACTAGGTGACCTCATCACACAGAGCTCAAACAGGCGTCGGCCAGCCGTGCCCCGGGCAAAGGTGCGGCAGACCTACTACAGCTGTGACACTTGCAAGGTGCCTTTATGTACACTGGGAAATTGCTGGGACTTTTTTCACCAGCCAATTTGTTAGTCAACAAAAGTACTGTCGGTCCCTCCATGTGCAGTGCTACTACAGAGTATTTCGCTGGTTAAAGTCAATAGCCATTTCCTATTGTCATCCTGGTCTTGCGCAAGAAAAACCTGAACTCTTGTTCGACACCCTTGAGACTGACTCAAGCAATAAGCCAAAAAGATAAATTCTTCACGCAACTATTTACGACGAGGTCGCCGATATATCACAACATCATTTTGAAAAGAAATGGTAAGCAAATGCTGCCTCACTGGCGATAGAAGGGTGCTCGCATCAGGCACCACTACGATGGCTTACTCCTACGGACTTCGGCGTTGAAACACTTCCCAGCAACATGATTGGCTCACCGCTGGCCATCCTTGCAAAGGAACATGCAGAATGCAGCTGAGCTGTTGTGGATGAGCTGTGGTCGCTACCAAGTAGGCTGAGCGACCTGCGATTTAAATAGGCAGCGATGGGCTCGGATTCATTTGTCCATCGCGTCCCACCCTATTGAAGCAGTATGGACGGTCTCTCTGCTGCTGCGAGTATTATCGCTGTGGTGCAACTGACAGCTGAGGTTACGAAATACATCATCGGTGTTGCTGGAGCCTCAAAAGATCGACAGCGACTGCTTGACGAAATTTTAGCCTGCGAGGCTCTCCTCATGCGACTCCGTGATTATTCCAAAGGAACTGACGGACCCGAAATTGAGGATTGGGACGCCGATCAGACCAAGGCTAATAGTGCCCAAACGTGGTCGGTCAAGGTCAAGGCTTTGGAGAGCGATAACGCACCTTTGTATCACTTGTATAAGATTCTCGATGCTATCAAAACAAAGCTGCAACCAGGCCACGGGAGCGGGATCCAAAAGGCCAAGGCCGCATTGAAATGGCCATTCGATGAGAAGGAAGTGGTAAAGCTCGTCGATGCGTTTCAGCGCGAAAGATCACTTTTGCATTTTGCCATGACACACGAAAGCACGTAGGTATCACTCTGCCCATTACGAGTATCGATAACTTACATCCACACAGACAGCTGGTGAAGCACATCAAGGCAACCTCAGACGATAACAGCAGACGATTAGCCGATTTGGTCAGATTTATCAAAAGCAAAGCGACTGAGGATGAGCAACGAGTTGCTCGACTTGACCGTATCCTGACTGACATACAGCTGTCCAACCTCAACATAGCAGAAGGGATTGGGCATCTTCAACACGGTCAGATGAGCGTCCACCAGAAAGAAGTCCTCGACTGGATATCACCCGTGGATTATGCCCCTCAACAAAGCGACATATTCAGCCGGCGAGAGCCAGGAACTGGTGAATGGCTATTGGAATCAGATGAATACAATTCCTGGGTGAAAGGCGACAAACAAACATTGTTCTGCCCTGGTATTCCAGGTGCCGGCAAAACGATCATGGCATCCATTGTGGTCAATTCATTGCTCGAAACCTTTCATTCCGAGAGCAACATTGGAGTTGCATATATCTACTGCAACTTCCGTCGGCGCCACGAACAGAAAGCCAGTGACCTCGTCGCGAATCTTTTAAAGCAACTGAGTGAGAACCAGCCATCACTAGTCAAGCCAGTAGAGGACCTGTACAATAAGCGCAAAGCATCTCGTACGCGCCCATCGCTACAGGAGCTCGGTCGCGTTCTCCAAGACGTTGCCGCGACATATTCTCGCGTGTACATCGTCCTTGACGCTCTGGATGAATGCGAGACCAATGACGGCACACTGCCCAACTTCATCCAACAAGTACTTGATCTTCAAAGTGCAACAAGTACAAATATTCTAGCAACCTCTAGATATATTCCGGAGATCAAGGAGAAGTTCAGGAAAGCTATCTCTCTCAAAATCCGCGCTAGTGAGCCGGATGTAAGGAGATACATGGCCGGTCGAATGTCTCAACTCCCAGCATTTGTTCAGAACAAACCTGAGCTTCAAGAGGAAATTAAGACAAGAATACTGGAATCAGTCCAGGGGATGTAGGGTGGCACATCCCTGATACAAACACAAATGCTAATCACAGGTTAGGTTTCTTCTCGCGCAGTTGCACCTTGATTCTCTTATCGGCAAGAGATCACCGAAAGCTGTACGAGCTATTCTCAAAGCTTTACCGAGTAACTCAAGCACGTCAAAAGCGTACGACAAGGCGTACGGCGATGCTATGAAGCGAATAGAAGACCAACTGACAGATCAAGCGATATTGGCAAAAGAAGCACTCATGTGGATTTCCTGCGCCAGACGGTTACTTAGTCCCGCGGAACTTCAACATGCCCTTGGTATCGAAATAGACTCTACGGAGCTTGATGAGGAAAATCTTAGCGAGATCCCCGACATCGTTTCTTCCTGCGCTGGCCTGGTGACCGTGGATGAACAGAGCAACACTGTTCGACTAGCACATTTCACAACACAAGAATATTTCGAGCGAACACAAGGCCAGTGGTTCCCAGATGCTGCTCTGGAAATATCCGTTAAAACTCTGACATACTTATCGTACGATCTTATCGTTGATCAAGTCAGAACTGTTCGACGTCCAAAACCTGACACTGAAGCACAAAAGGATGCAGAAAAGTCGGATCCCGTTATTGATCAATCGAAAGACGAAAAGCCAGGATCCCCAAACCCTGGTCTTGGTCGGTCGAAAAGCCAAGATTGGAAGATTAAAAATAACGTGGCGGAGAGCGACGAAGACTATGATGTTAAGAAGATGCTCCAGGATTATCCGCTATGTCGATATGCATCATGCCATTGGGGTTACCACGCTCGCAACGTCTCAGAAATGCCCGATATTGTGAAGAACTTTTTGTCGTCAGAGAAACTTGTCAAGGTGACTGAGCGTCTGCGGTATGCTGGTGGATTCAACCCTGGGACCACTGGCCTTCATGAGGCGGCGTACTTTGGGTTCGAAGAGGCTGCAGAATGGATGTTGGAGAGATGCTCGATCGACGCACTTGACTCATACAATGTATCAGTTCTGGAGATGGCATGTGGCCTTGGCCACCTTTCGCTCGCCGAAACACTCCTCAAAAAGGGCGCAAATCTACGGGGGACGCCAATTACATATGCAGCTCGACGAGGGCAAAATGCTATCGTAACATACCTTTTCCAATATGGCGCGCCACTGGAACAAGGCGCACTAGAGGCGGCTTTCAGACATTTCAAGGATTCCAAGATATCAGTCGACAAGGTTCCCATGTTCCAGACGCTTTTGGAACACGGCGCTGACCCTAATATATTGATTGACGAAACGTCGCGACCTCTGCATCATGCCACCAAGGATAGAGTCGAACCTCTCGTTCAGCTCTTACTCGACCACGCGGCTGATGTGAACGGACGAGACAAGGAAGGCCGAACAGCACTACACCTCGCGGTTGATTCAGAAATGGAGCCATTGGTGCGACTCCTCGTGGATCGTGGAGCTGAAATTAACGCGCAAGATGACCAAGGTCACACTCCGCTTTATCATGCCGCTGGGCGTGATATCGATCCCATCGTGCAGTATCTGATTGAACATGGTGCCAATGCCATCCTGCAAGACAAACATGGACTTTCAGTACTCCATCTATCTATGGCATCCGCTTTCGAGTGTCTCGTCCAGAGTCTTATCGGTCGCGGTGAGAGCACAGATGCCCATGGTGCAACTCACCAAACTCACTTGACGGTAGCCGCTAGTGATATTCTAAAGCCCACGATTCTTAAAGAGAAGCCGCAGATGGCTTTTGACGAGTACCCCTTGATCACCATATATGAGTTGGCGCTTTTTAGATCTTTAGTTTCTTCAACCTGGCCATCACGCCGACCACCAAGCATCGCATCTATGGAAGAGCACCTGAGCACGATGCAAATACGAATGGAATGGGAGTATGAACCCCTGATCGGCTCATTTCTCAATCGCATGAGTGAGAGACGTGTCCTCACAGATAACTTTGATGAATTTCTATACGATCAGGCTCTAGATGGCGCCAGGCCTTTTGTTCAAGCAATGATGTCCGAGATCAAGGTCAACATACGAGAATCTCAGGGCTACTCGTCAATTTTCATGGAGAACATGCACGAGACATCACGCACTCTACGGATGTATTCACAGCAGGTCTCTGCTATCGAATTTCATAGAGAAATGGTACTCGGTCTTCTCGTCGACTGTGCAAGATTAGCAGAGATGCTATGGGAAAAGAATGCGGCTATAAGAGAATTTGACAGAGCTCGATATGGTGAGCTTATGCTGGCAGCTCGAAAGGGCCAAGACTACATTGACCAGAAACTGCATGAAAGTAGTGCAGTCGGCACGACATCGGACAATAGTAGTGGCGAACCCATGACTTTTGTTATTCATCCCACTGGCATAAGATTGCGGGAGCTGCGGCAGAGGTTTCATATTGATCTCACACCGGAGTCTGACGAAACGAACCCATCTGGCTCACAGCCGAAGCTCATAGTGAACCTCCAACTGATGGAAGCCAGTCATGCATCGGTCAATGCAGTGCCATGAGAGTGGGCATCTAAAGGCACAAGTTCCTTCGAGGACATGGGATCTATTCAGGTGTGCGTCGACAATCGGCAAATCCTAACTCCACACTACTTGAGTCCATCCCTTAACGTTGGATTCCCAACTTTTTACGAGATTCTTGGTCTCTGCCCCTCCAACGATACCCAGAATGTTATCTGCGTCTTCGAAAATCCACGCTCTTACCGCTGGCTCAAAGTCTCTTCCATATACTTGTTCTTTCATCTTCACCACTGTGGCCTTGCCCTCCTTTAGTGCAGTCTCAGATGCTGTCACTAACTCCTTGATATGTGCCATGACCTCCTTTGGAAGGTTACTCTTCCCAGAGCGATCACGCTCCTTTTCGCGGTCATTGAAGCTGATAACCCATTGGGCTGAGTTCTTGATAGCGGCGGAAGTATCGCGGAGGATGGCGAGAGAATGAAGCGTACTCAGAGTTGTGACTTGCTCTGAGGCGTTTGCAAGAGGCAGCAACTCTAGCTTGAGCGTATCTATGGCAATCTTCAGAGTGTCCACGATCTGGAAAAACTCTTCGGGGATGGGTTTCGCCCTATTGATGCCGGTTGCGAAAGGAATGAGAGTGCTGAGTAGGCTGATAACCTCAAAGTAGGTTGCCTCCTGTGGTGTGAGGTCACCTCTGGGACCATTCGAGAACTTCATGAAAGAATTGCTAAGTTGACCGAGTGATTCGAGGACGAAGATTTGGTCGGGGATGGCGGCTGTCGCAGAAGCCTTGTAAATGGGAGGAGGCTTATAACCCAAGAGTTCATGGAAAGCTTCAGAGAGGAGGGATAAATGGGCGCGACGATTCTATACATGTTAGTTTTGCTTTATGGGGAGAAGGAGGCATACTGTTGGCGTTGGTCCAATTCGCAAACGGGAGTAGACAGGTGGTTGAGAACTGCAGTCCCATGAGGGGAAAGATCCGTAGTCTACAGTCTCGACCAGTTTCATATCGTCGGCTACTTCGGCTGCTTTCGTTAGTACTTGTGAAGAATGGTGGACGGTTGGAAGACTCACTGAATCGAGGATCGGTAAACACCTCTGAGAAGTGTTCTCCCATGATGCGATCGGTTCTAGTCTCCTCTACCAGACTCATCGCTCGTGTGCAGCTCCACCGCAGGTTTTCCATGTATTCGGGGATATCAATCACACTGCTATAGCTTCCCGACTCAAAAGCATCTATCAGTCGCCTAGGCATCCTAAGCTTCAGCGACACGTTGAAGTGAGAGCTCAGCAGGTCTAGAAGTTCCCAACCGGTCTCGTCCGATGGTGAAATAAGAGCGGGTGAAATTGTCGAGAGGCGGTCGTAGAAAATGGGGGCCAGAGAGTCCATGATAGTACGCTTGACGCCTAGTGTATCCCAGATTTCTCGGGCACGAGACGACGAACCAACTCGAAGGTGCAGTTGTACTAGAAGGAGGGAGATAATGCTGTGTTTTGGCGTCAAAGTGAGCTGGTGTTCGAGCAACAGTAGGGCTTGCAGGAGGGGGGCGTAAGAGACGGGAATGTTCGAGATATCGGTTGACGGAGGAAATGCAGTTTGGATGATGGAAAGACCAATGATGACAGCCAGTTCCGGCCTGATCTCAGCCTCGATAGCGGAGCTTTTCGAAGTCAAGTCAGATAGCGACTGGTGAGCCTTGAGTGCAGTCTCGGCGATGGTTGAGAAAGCTGGCCCAGGTGAGCTAGCGTCGAGTTCAACACCAGAGACAAGACACTTGCGCAGAGGCTTCTCGCCAGGTATCGTGCTGTACATACAGGGGCATGTGGCTGCAAAGTACTGTAGCTTGAATGCAAGGTTGCTTATTCTAGCTGACTGAATCTCGTCCTCTGTTACTTGAGCCAACTTTGGAACAAACTCGTGCGCCATGTACTTTAATGCAGATGGATTGAGTCTCTCTGCAAAGGCTTTGATGTCATCGAAGCACGCAGCATTTGTTCCTTGGTTTTTCACGTAGCTGATCAGCTCCTTGAGTCGGAATGACGCAGGTTCGTTCTCAATAAGATCGTCCTCGTCATTTGATGCAAGATTGAAGGCTGCCGAGACACGCGCCAATAGAATAATGCGTTTGTAGATGGGCCGCAGATTTGGTGACTTGATGAACTTCAATAAGAGCTGTTGGACAGTTTCTTCGACGCTAGATCTTGTCAGTCGGGTCTTCGTCTGCAGTTGAGTTCCTACATACTCTGGCTTGGTATTCTTGATTTCCGCAGCAGCTTCAATGAACTGCCGCCAGACTTTCCAGTCTGCCGCCATGAGACTCGGTTGACCACTTTCGTCCTCAATTGACAAACAATCCTTACACAGCTCAAAAATAGCCTCGAACTGCTGTTCTTGTTGGTAGCGAGCAATGGCCCGGAGCATCAACTCCTTCCTACCCTTTCGGAACTGAACAAGTGGGCTGAAGACGGGACTTGAGACGAGTTTCGCTAAGTCATCTTTAGAACCATGCTTTTCGGTTACATCGTACAACAGTAGAATCTCTTCTTCTGTTTGGATACTTCGTGGCTGTGGTTTGGTGTCTTCGCCCCCGGTAGTCGCAGCCTAGGATTGTGAGTTTAGGGGTTAATAGTGAACGAAAGGGGTACTACTTCTTCAGCCAATTGCGCAGCTCGTTGGATCTGCTTCAATGCGAGCATACCATACAGCTTGTTCTTCTCCGGAGGGGATTGAGGGCTAGTCTGAAAGGAATTAGTGAGGAATGAAACAGAAGATTGCTGCACGAACCGCCAATAAATGTGTGATCACAATGTTCCAAAACATAAAGCTCCTCTCCTGAGAAAATGTCCTGTCCAAAATCGCCGCGATCTGAAAATATGTTAACCGGTAAATCTGGTCAGTAGCAAACCCTCCGTACCTGTTGCGCGCTGACAAGATCCCAGTGCAATAAGCATGACTCCAAGCAGCGGCTGGCGTTAATCTTGTCCTTGGGCGCAGCCTTGACGAGACGTGCCCTCAACGGTCCGAGGGTCTCGGGGAAATCTTCATCACTGTTCAGACCTTGGCTGGCCCATTCAAGGAGGTCTATGGCCTCGGCATCTTTGACAACGGTTCCTTCTCTGACGTACTTGTCAATGGCGGTTATAGCCGCGAACTTGGAGCTGGGGTCATCCAGTTGGCTTTCAGCACATATTTTCACAATCTATTCATACGGGTCAGTCTACGGATGGCTCAGGTACAGCTCCCATCAAATCGCACCTCATAATATTGGTCGTTGAAGGTTCGGGCCCGCTTCTCTGCAAGACGGATCACAGCAGCCCAGTTGCCATCGTTGAAGGCAGACTGGAGCTGGAGGTCTACGCCGTTCTTGAGATTGGGTCTCTGTTGACGATTCATGAGTGTCAAGCTTCACGACGCTTTTCCCGCCCCAACTGACTAAAGTCGACTTGGAGTATTGAGAGTGAGTGCGTGAGAGTTTGGAGGGGCTCAAATTGAAGTGGGATGGATGCGACAGAATGGAAGGTGGAGGGGCGGTGGAAGCGTGGCGGTGCAGCTTGCGCCACATCACCACCAACTTTGTCGCCTGTAGGTAGTCCCAAACTCTGGCGCTGTTACAGCATCAACAAAAATAACACGGCGTATTTCCAGAACTCAAGCATTATCCTCAGGTGTGCTCTCAATGTCACAGCGCTTACATCCGTCAGGATAATTCCCAGTGTCATTGCCTGTCCAATCATCAACTCCTCTCAGTCGTGTTTACCTGTTCCCCAGACGTCCTTCAATCTGCACCAGGATATTTGTGATGGCACGGCATAAGACTGAGTTGTTTACCAGCCTGGGGCAATGCACTGCAAACATGGACGCCCACCTGCATTAGAGTCACGTTCTACACGCGATGTTGATTGAGATGCAAAACTTGCAGGCCTTCCGCAATGTGATCGCGGCGCCAGTTTGTCGGTCTTAACTCAGCAAGTACCTAAGCCCCTATCTAGATTATCCAGATTGGCAAACCCATTGCTTGATTGAGACTAAGAATTATCATAATTGTTCATCCGGGGAAGACGCAGAACAACGATCTAAGAAAGGAGAGGGAAAAGCAGAAAAAATGCGCCTCTTTGTCAGACGACTGAGACTTCTATCATACCCAAAGCACTTGAGATCTGGCTCTTGCTTAGCAACCTCGGAACCATGCAGAATACCTCCCGAATTGGACGTGTCATCACAATTCCGGAAACTCCGTTACCGTTTATAGGACTTCAAGGCAGTTCAGGAAGGGGTATATCGGCGACCGAGGGGGTGATGGCGGAATAATCGCATCGACGGCCGAGCCCAGGCATCACTACTGCATGCTGTCAAGTCACAACAATGAGGCGATGCTCGAAGGAGCCCTTGGTCACAACGGTTCTGCCGAGTATCATTTGTCATCGCCTGGTTTCACCCGTATCACTGATTATACCGAATAGGTCATCAGAGACACTTGTGCGATCATGTGGAAGAATCTTGCCAACCTCAGTCATGCTCTCGGGACACACAAGCATAGTCAAACCGCTTCAGCCTTGATGGTACAACCCATCTGCGAGCCTCATTTTGTGGTTGGTGCTAAAATGCGGCTCGAACGAAAAGTTTCTCATATATAGAGACGTATAAACGCATTGGCAGTATTCGTTCCTTTGGACGAGGAGCAAGGCGCTTTTTTCTTCTTACCCAATGAACATGGGAACCCAGCCAGAAACTGAGTCCTTTGAGATGGCCAACCGACCAGTATCCCCTCTCAGTGTAGTGACAGAGGAAGACGACCCTGGATCTGCTGACACCGCTTCAACTGGAACCCCCAGGCAGGAAGATACTCAACACGGTGCTCAATCGGACAACGATGGACTGCTAGCACCAAGTCCAAAGGATAAGATTACAGAAGAAGCCGCATCAGTACACGCGGGCTGTCCTCTCAAAAAACATGTCCTATGCTCCTTGATAATAATTGCGTTCATCGGCTCGGCTTCTCTCATCTGTAGTTGCTGGCTCATCGCATATATCCAAGTCAAGACAGACAAAAGTTACATAGCAGCCGTCATTGTTGGAGGCAAGCTCTCGTCGACAGAAGCCAAGCTAATTGACGCGGCCTTCTCCATTCTCGTGGCGCCAGCCGTGGTCGCGGTCGCCAATTGGCATATGTTTAAGCTTGCTCGTCTTTCTGCTGTCAACGAGCATAGCGAAAGAAACTCAGCTGTGAGCATGAAGGTCCTCGTCGAAGTTGCCAGCACAGACTGGGGGTCCTTTAGCCCACTCAAGTTCTGGACTTTCGTCCGTTCAAGAAGGCCTCGTGTGATGTGTCTGGGAATGATCGCTGTTCTCTCAGCTTTGAGTTTCTCGTTGCTTGGCAATGCCGTGGCATATCAACAGGCCGGAGTGGATACGTCTACGCAGGTGCTTGAATATCTGTATGATACACATTCGGTGCTGCCCGGAGGCTCACGTCCAATACCCCTGGACGACCAGTCTATCCAGCAACAGGTTTCAGCAAGACTTCAAGATAAGCTTTCACGCCTACCGCAAGGGATGCTCAAGTCATCTACAACAGGACTGGTGAGCGTCAATGTCTCGGATCAATCACGTTCGTCGCTTTCTCCTGCCGTTATGCAACTATTTCACGCGCCCGTCTATCGACTGAAAATGCTTTGCAGTCCCTCCCATCTAAAAAGTGTATCAATGATAGTGCCAGACAGACGGAACCCGCAACTCAGATTTGTTCTTGAAGAAGCAGCCTTAGTCCTCGGTTCAGAGTCAACCACATACGAAGCAACGTTCGGCACCAACGAATCTGCTGTATCAAACACGGCACTAGATGCAGCTAAAGCCACAAACCCATGAATCGCAGACCCGCTCATTGCCTTCAATGAGACCGCTCTTTGGATCGGGGTTATGGATTCCGAGAACGATGGTGTCCCTGTGGTTACTACAGAGCGGTGGGGTAGCTTGATACCTTTTACCAAAGGTTTCCCGATTACTGAGCAGCCTGACGGTCGACAAACAAACTACAGCCTAAGATTTTCAGGCTTAACATGCCGTTTAAACAGATCCACTGGATGGGCTGATATTAAAGTGAACGGGAGTGACTGGTCGATGATCGAGAACACTCTTGTGGACGAGAAGCCTGACACAGGGCACGATATGCCGGTGCTTAGCTTGACGTCAAGTCTCAGTACCTTTGACGATGGGCGTGATGGGAGACCGCCCGGGCTCGGCGGACAATTGCTTCGAGCGGCACTGGGAGTGGCGACTGAAGGAAGTCGACAGAGCTGGGGCCTAGAAACCCTTGCTGATGCTTTCCTGTGGTACGAAATAGAGGCCCGTCAAGTACTGCTTGACAATGACCAAGCCGTAAGGGCTGAGAGATATCAAGTGCAGTCCAACATCGATGAATACGCAATGACATTTGTTCCGTGGATTCTCATGTCTGGACTTGCGACACTGGGAACAGCATGCGCGTTGACGATTGGGCTCACCCTCGATTCTTGGAAGGTATACTCGCTTAGAAGTGGCAGAATGTTGGATCCAATCCGATTGACAGCTGATGTTGGAGTGGCTTTGGATAAGCAGGTGTTTGAAGAGTGCTCAACCTGGCACGCGACAAGGCTGAACAAGTGCGCCGATGAGGCTCGGTTTCAGTACGAGCCCGACGCCCGTTTGGATAGTGCAACGGGTCTGTATGCTCTAGGGATCCGCCTTCGACAAATCTCGCGACCACACGACTGACAACTGTCAATTGGGGGGGGGGGGATTCTGATAGAATGACGAGGCAGACTTTTTAGTACATTGAGTGTTGATGCAGTACCTAAATTGAACAACCGTGCATTTTGTGCAGCTCTTTGTCCTTCGTTCCCCAACGGCAAAGCCATCATCCACCTACCTACCATATGATGACAGCTCTGTTTGTACTTGAACAATCTCAGAACACACGCATTCAGCCTGTGCACGTAAGTCGTGAAACCTGGCAAACAGTGATTGGGGCGTCTTTGGATCTCAACAGTAGCTGTATTCCCATCGGTGTAGAATAGCGGTAGAAGTTTGAGATACCTCGAGATATAGGTATGTAGATCAGAAAGTCAATGCCCTAGCAATTGGTGACAATCCTGTGACCAAAATGAGAGTTGCAGCCTGTCAGCCGAGGTGGATTGGGGTTTTCTCAAAGACGCTTGCACCGAAGTGAGATCAGACTTTTCGTTTGATAAAGATAACAGAATGTTACACCGCGCTTCCGTATTGTACAGTATAAACTCCCCTAATGTTACAATGGTACCTCTGTCGTCAGTCAAGATGCTCAGCCAGGCTGGATCCAGCAGGTCAAAGCAGGATGTCGAGAGCGAATGACCCCATTAGAACCAGCCGCGGCCTTCCTTTTTCCGTTTATCAGTCTGCGTGAATGATGAGTCGCGGTTATTCTCTTCAGCTGTAGCATCGTATAACATACCCATGCTTGTTTGCAGTCGCGATATGCCCTGTTCAATTGTCAACACTTGGCCCGATTGCTCGATCCCAAGCAACATACTGGAAATACTCTCCACACATATTCTTATCGCCTCCGTTCCTGAACAAGCATCGATAGCTTCTTTGTGCAGCCTCTTGGCACGGATCGTAGAACTCGCTCTTGGATTTCCTACGCCTCGTTAGTGTCCCGGTCGTTTACGGGTGGTGGGCTCGCTGACGTTTCGAACTTCCGTCGTTTGTCTTCGTTCCAGGGTTGTGTGTCGGCGTCGCTCGACTTCGGAGGCTCAGTGGCCTCGGCTGTGTCTTTTGGTGAGGAGGACATGGCGGCGTCGTTTGGGGGGAGCGATGGGAGTATTGGAAATCGCGGGATGGTCTATTAGATGATTCAATCCGACAAAGCTGAGGCGGGGCCGAACGGTTCCTAAAGCGGTTAGTGATGATTGGCAACCCGTTCAAAACGGTAGCCAAAGGAAAGTTTATAAAGTCCGAATCCAAATGCCATTTGGTGAACCAGGTTATAGGAATTGAGTTGCAGATCGAGCGATATTCAGTGCCGCAACAACAGATAGAAGAAGACCAACAAAGGTATCCTTGTGTATCTACCTAACTTACATAGGTCTGGATGCTGTTTCATTGTCTCATGATGTCATATTCATAAATCGCTTACCCTGAAGCCAACTTATTATTGAACTGCATATAGAGATTATTTCCTCCAACAGGAACTTCATATTTAAAAGCGCTGATGTCCAGGTTCCGCAAGACTGCAATGAAGCTGGTATCGAAATTTGAGTTTGAGAATAGGTTTAGTTACGCAACAACCGGTCAAGGATGGTCTCGGTAGCCAAAGGGGTGACAAATTTATCTTGAACAAGCACTCACATTTCGGAATGGGTAATCAAGCACCAAAGTCTTGCATACAACAACTCGCAATCTCTATTCTGCTTGTCGATTGAAGCAGTGAATTGCATTATATATAGTCAATGCTATAGGCGCTGTTCGATACGACATCTACCAGAAGCCATCGTCACACCAGGCTTTCCGATTCCCTCTCGTGCTCTCTATTAGTCCCTCCCTTGCTTTTTGTATTTTTCTGGTCGTCTCTTGACTGCAGCATAGGCCCACGTCGAATTCCTTTAGATCATTGTCGCCCATGGTCGCCAATGCAGCTAAACCGAGGTATGAGTGGTACATATCCGGCGGCCCTCCTACGGACTTGGAGAACCCGCCAATGCGATGCTGTGTGATATCAAGAAGATATCGTCGCGAAGGAATGACATTGACGATGGCAGAATTCCCTAGCATCTGTGAGATGTGTAAGAGCTGTGCTCTGTGCAAGGAGGCGTGGGAAACTCACTGCAAGCGTACCGCCAACCCACCAACAATAGCACGTATCGGCCTTCTTGTTCCATCGACCGTTGAATCCGATATGGCCAAGATCGAGCTCACCAGCCTTTGACTCGAGAAAGTTTTCCTCGACTTCATCTTCTTCCTCTTCCTTGGCGAGGTAGGCGAAAGGGCGAGAGGCGAGGAAGTGTAGGAGTCCCTCACGATTCGGGACGCCCCGTTTCAGCGCCTCCTCGGGCGGATGCGGCGATGTCGAGTCCAGTGGTCTGTCTAAGAGTGAAAGCGCACCTATCGCGCAGTATGCGTATCCAGCTAGAGAGGTGAGTTATGCGGGCAGACAACGAGTCGAGAGGCCATACCATGGGATTCGTGCTGCGACGATTCTGCCACTCCACCGTCATATGTCTAAGAAGTGTTAATGAGACAACATCACCCAAGCAAATATAGCGTACCTGGCCTCTCTTGATGTGAGCAATCATTTCATCAATGTTCAAATCCTCCACCCAGTCTTCATCGCCTTCCTTGACGTCTCCTCTCAGCATCCATCGAATACAGCTCGCCAGATAGCTGTGCCTCATATCTCTACCACCCACAATCTCTCCGTCCCATAAAATTTGTCCGAAACTCCCATCCTTTCTCTGAAGCCTGTTCAGCCACTTCAACAACCGTACTCTGTCCACCCCACTGAAAGCTGACCTCGCCTCATCCTCACCATCAGCTGCCAGCCCCAACAGTACAAGTGCAAAGAAGGTAGCTGCAATATTTGCCGTTCCCTTGTAAGCTTCTTGACCTGGTAAGGCATGCGTTGAACTTCCACAAAAGCCCCCTTCTGGATGCTGCAGACTGAGAACCCATCGACGGATGGCACCGCGTTCAGTATGGGTCAGCGGAACAGACAGAATGTCAAGCGCCGAAATAATGAAGCAGGCGAAAGTAAGGCGGGTCGAGTCGTAGGCTGTGTAAGGGGATGGGAGGTATGTTTTATGACAGCGCTGCCAATACTTGATGTGCTGTTGCTTATCCAGCGAGGGACTACTCGCTTCTGCCATTTCAGAAAAATAGACGCCCGAATTAAAATTCGGATACTTTCCCGTCGTGCAAGGTGAATTTATTAGTTAAAATTGGTCAAAGTGAATGCACTGCTCGGTATGGTGCATTCATGTCCGAGTCCTACCGAGTCCTACCAACAAAGCTCACAGCTCGAGCTTGAGTGAGAAGGTGGAGTCAAATCCAAACAAGGGCATTGAGGTTTCAGCCACAGCCACCGCCACAACAAATGCTGTCCCGCGACGCCACGAGGTCCTCCTGCAATCGGATCTAATTCGCTAGCCGCGATTAGCGGCCCGACAAATGCCCAGGCAAGCCATGGAGGGCATCATGCGCGGGTGACGCATGGCATAACCCCTGGCTGCTAGTTTCCACAACAGCTGTTCAGCGTGACCTGGAAGTTGATCAAGTGCTAGTACGCCTTCCAGCTGGGTATTCTGTTTTCCATTCCTTTGAGCGCAAGATCACTTCTTCTTGGCCTCTTGAGCCCCTCGTTTTCTGCCGCCAGTTTCCCCTCCTTTTGCGACTTGTGCAAGCTTCATCCTGCGACGCACGCGATACCTACCTACGGACGAGCCAAGTACATCGAGACAACCATCCCCAGAGGGAGCAAAACGCAACGATGGCTCTCATATCTGCCAAAACGATTATAACATCTGTCTCCCTTTTCCATCTGACCCTCGCATACTTCTTCATCACCAACCCAAGCTCCATCAATGAGCAAGCGCTTGTCTTCATGCTGGGAGAAAGCATGGGAATGGTGAGTCTCCATCACATCATGGCTGCTGGTCGCGACGTCTCCGAAGCCTGGCTAAGCTGACTCGGCTTATGATAAAGCCCTTAGCAAGAGGATTTGAACTGCAAAGTCCTCCACTCGCGTTCCTCGCCGCTGTCCTCGTCTTTATCGGCTTTAGTGATCTGGTATCCCTATCCATGCCCGACGAAGTCTGCCTAATCTTCCACTGGGGCACACAAGGTTGGCATCCTATGCC